ACCGCTTCTTTGATTTTTCTCTTTTTACCATCTGTTTCTTTCAGGACTTACTTGAATCCTTGCATTGAACCCTATGTTCATTTTACCATGCGTGTTTACTTGCTCAAATTTTCTATTTTGAATATAAGATTGGTGTTCACTTATTCTAATACATATTTAATGGTCTTGACGTTTCATCTAAATAAAAATGATCGTATTCACAAGGTTTTTTATAAATACAATTCTTTGTTCTTTAGTATTCATTGTTAGGTTTAATTTTAGATAAAATAGATCTCAATGTCTTTCAATCACATCGTTTTAAGTTTTTCTGAACCTTTTATGTATGGTATTGATATTTTCCTCGTATTATTCCTTTGTGATTAAATTCTGGCATATTCCCATTAAAGCTAGTAAATACATATTTGTATAATATACAGGGTGTTAGTAAATAAGTGCAATAGACTTCAGGAAATGATTCTGCATGAAAAGAATTAACAGTGCTATGTAAATGTATGTCCGCAAATGCTTCGTTTTCCGAGATACAGGGTGTTGAAAATTTTCCTTATAAACTGACGATTTCTTTATTGCTCTGAAACTGGTTGAGATATGCAAATGAAATTTGGTGAGTTTTAAGGGGTAGTTATTGCGCATTTTTTGACAATCATTAAGAATTTAATTGATTATTGGCGCGCATACGGGTAATAGTCTCAATTTATATAAAGAAAAAAATGGTACGCCACTAAATTATTTCAAATTAAGAAATCATTTTTGAATTCTTCGTTCAATTTGTGACAAAAATTATTTCTTCCTTTTTTTTCATAAGAGGCGTCATTTTATGCAAAAAAGAAAATAAAACATCGTAACGCGTATTTTTAATTTCTTTAATACATTTTCAAGAACTATCTAATCTAATTTAATAACATCAAATTAGAACAATAACAGAAAGTAGCTCTAATAACATTTTAAATAGGCGCAAAGCTACAAACAAATATTCAGAATGATGTCCCTGAAACGTGACACAAGATTTAACTCTTAGCCTCATTGCTTGTGGTATTCATGTAAAACATTCCTGGTGCATTTCTTAATTACTTACGTAAAAGTGGTTTCAGTTAAAAATTCATTTTGAGTACCAAGACTCAGAAATCAATTGTCTTTGAGTTATAGAGCTTCAAAGTGTCGGATTTCAGACCTTTTTGAAAATCATGAATTAGGAAACGTGCCGTCCTATACATTCAATATATGTCTTATATGAATCTCGATAAACAATAACTAGATGAACATTTTTTTATGTTCAAATATTAAAAAAAGTCATTCAGATTCCATATTCGTGTTTAATAAAATTCAGATGCCATACATTGAATGTGTGGGACGGTGGTAGATGTGTTTCCAAATTAATAATTTTCCAAAATGGACTAAAAAATGACACTTTAAAGTTCTTAACTCAAGAACAATTGGTTTCTGAGTCTTGAGGTATTAAGAACTTTTGATCAGCTTGACCTAAGCTACTTTTCTTCAATGTTTCAGTAAATTTCACTGAAACCACTTGTACATAAGTAAATAATAAATTCACCAGTAATATTTGCACTAGTACGACAACCAATGAAGCTAATAGACTAGGCGGCATCTGTAGAAATTCAGACCATAATGGAAATTTTCGAGGGAAGCTATTTTTTTGCTGGAATCATTTCAGGATATGCCCAGTATCGATAATCACGATATGCGCCAGTCGCAAACCCTGTGCTAAATTTTTTATTTAACAAAATCTGAAAACAATTGAAAATTTCTCATTTTTTTTGCTCCTATTTTCATTTATAATTCGAAAAATATTGATCTTAGAGAAAAAATTAGAACAACAAAGTGGTTAAAAGTTTCGATATTAAATTTTACACAATATTTTGTTAGCTAGAAATTGAAAATTTAATGGTTATTGTTGAAAAAATAGCAATAATTTAAAAAAAAAGTACAAAAAAATGAAGTTAATCATTTAAATGTTTTCGAATTTCTAAACTTGACTTACAAGTTCCATATTCCGCCTGGAAAAACTTTTTAATATGTTTAAAACGTGTGCTAAATTTTGTTAAGATCGGTTGGATAGGTTTTGCATAATAATTTTGCAATCCAGCCTACTCGCAAATTTTCAAATTCATAGTAAGCCCTAAATAAGGCCCTCAGATAGTTGCATTTTTTTTTACATATAAAGGAAGTCTCACACTTTCAAACGCTTTTTGTAAAATTCAAATCGGTTTACTAGGAAAGCCTATAAATTTTTTTAAAGTTATAAACATTTTTTAGGCTTATAAACAAATTAAATAACTTTACGAGCTTTAAACATATCAATGTCAAAATGTATACACTTAAAGAACATTAAAAGACGCTTCTTTTAAAAAACAAAAAGATACATTCGGCTTACTGGTTGCCGAGATATTGAAGGTCAAAGTTGGCATACATTTGCCGTGTAACCATAAGTGATAGAGGGCTCGTTTTTAAACAAATACCCTCGTCTTGTCAAATACTTTTTATATGAAAAGTTTTACGTAATGCGCTTTATGGCAATATCCATAAAAAAGACAAATAAAAAACCGTTTTCGCGTAATATGTCGCTCGGAATGCATGAGAGGTGGTGATGAGGGACATTCACTTCAAATGTGAATCGGCGAGTATCAAGTAGGGGACCATCAGTTTGTTTAATTTCGGGTTTTGAAATAAAAACAAATAGTAAAGTGCTCCAAAATCTGTAAGGGCTTTTAAACAAGTTTTTCTAGGCGGAATATGAAACTTGTAAGTCAAGTTTAGAAAGTCGAAAACATTTAAAGGATTAACTTCATTTTTTTTACTTTTTTTCCAATTATTGCTTTTTTTTTCAACAATAACCATTAAATTTTCAATTTCTAGCTAACAAAATATTATGTAAAATTTAATAACGAAACTTTTAACTACCTATAATTTTTTCTCTAGGATCAATATTTTCCGAATTATAAATGAAAATAGGTGCAAAAAAATGAGAAATTTTCAATTGTTTTCAGATTTTGTTAAATAAAAAATTTAGCACAGGGTTTGCGACTGGCGCATATCGTGATTATCGATACTGGACGTATCCTGAAGGAATTCCAGCAAAAAATAGCTTCCTATGGAAAATTTCCAATCCAAAACAGATCCCGCCTAGACTATAAGATTGTTCTGAAGCTATTTTCTTGTGGCATTGTAAATTAATTATTATTAAACTGGGAATAAGCCACAATTGAAGGTAAAAATACGTTTATTGACGTTTCAATTTCCACTTCGTAAAAAAACGAAGAACGAGAACGATTTCCGCAGTGGAAATTGAAACGTCAATAAACGTATTTTTACCTTTAATTGTGGCTTATTCCCAGTTTAATAATAATTAATAGACTATAAGAGTTAAATCTTGTGTCACGTTTCAGGGAGATTAATTTAAATATTTTTTGTAGCTACACACCTATTTAAAATTATATTAGTACTTTCTGTTATTGTTCTGGTTTAATGTTATTGTATTAGATAGTTCTTAAGAATGTATTAAAGAAATTAGTAATATGCGTTAAGATGTTTTATTTTTTGCATAAAAAAGCGCCGCATATAAAAATAAAAAGACAAATTTCTTGTCACAAATGAAACGAAGAATTCAAAAATGACTTTTAATTTAACATATCTCAGTGGCGTACCATTATTGCGGCCATTGAGACCATACGTGCTGATAATGAATATAAAATTCTTAATTATATGGAAAAAATGTTCAATAACTTCCTCTTAAACTCACCTAATTTTATTTGGATATATCAACCGGTTTCAGACTCAACCAGTTTGTAAGAAAAATTTCAACACCCGTATCTCGGAAAACGAAGCATTTGCGGACATAGAAGCTGTCAGTAATGAAGAAGTGAAGATGAAACCTGAAGTTTGTCGTACTTATTTACACCGTATGTATGATACAAACATGTATTTCAAATGGACCCACCTAAAAACCGCCACTTTGAACCTCTGTACCTCTTTGTTCATAAAATTTCTATAAATTGGTATAAAGAAAAAATATGATTGTTACAGTCCCTTTAAAAACTCTCCAGGCTTACCCTATTAATCGATTTTCGTTTTTCAAAAGGGATTTAAAAGCTTATATGTTCTTCTATATTCAAAAGAAATAAGAGATTTATATAATTTATAACATATTGCACAAGCACCTTTTGATAGATAATTTAGTTGCGAGCAAGTTTACGTTTGTCCGTTTTCATCATATTTCGTTACTTTCCGAGATATCCAGGATAAATTATTGAAAAATATGAACTTGGAAAACGTCAATTTTATCATTTTAATATTTTTTTCTGAACTTTATCAGTTGAGACATATTCAAATCCTTTTTCAAACAATCTTTTGGACTAACAGCCCGTTCAGACGGCATGCACGATACGATAATTTATTTGAAAAGATATTTTAATCGAATCTAGATAACCCATTCAGACGGCATACACGACACGATAATTTATTCGAAACGAAATATTGTCGAACCAAATATCTTTAGCCCAGAGCCCTATTTAGTTTGTGGTAACGCTGAAAAATGGATGTCAATGCTTTTGTTACGATATATTGAATCTAAAACGACGAAAATAACGAAACAGAAAGTGTAAAGGAACATCTGTGAACATGTACTGGTAAATAAACTTTATAAACTAAATAATGTTTCGACGTCCACTTTATCCATCTCGTATTATTGCACTACTTGCGCTACTGACGTTCGAGTCGATTTTTTTCATTTATGGCAGTGCCTTAATCGAACGTAACTTTGGGCATATCCCGTAAAATTTCCGAGCGGGATATACGATGGAATCGTGTGAACGCGCGCATTTAAAATTATGTGCCACTGAGTAATTCGACATTTTTATCGATTCGAACAAAATTTTGAATCTGTACCGTCGGAACGGGCTGTTACATCCGGATCGAATTTATTTCTCTACAGATTCCGACTGGACTAATAGTTAAACTAATTTTAATATTCTAATTATTATTTACAGAGCACGCCTGTATTGACTGGATCAAAATTTTTCAACATGACTGAACATAGTGACAAACAGGTGAGTTTTTTTTTTAAATTATATCTAACATTTTTTAATAAAAACTTAGTGGGTATACAGTTTATGAAATTGTATTTAATGTATTATACTTATTTTTTATTTAGAAGAAACAAAATATGGCCATATTTTTTCATATTATAATTTAATCTTATAAGTATTTAAGTTAATAAGATTTAGAAATATAGACCACGGGATTTGAGCAATCATCAAAGAAATTAACTCCAATAACAGTACGTTTTTAAGAGCGGAAAACTGGCTATCTTACAAAATGCCTATATAGGCAAGGATTTCAATTCTCTTATTGGACTTATTAAGCACAGACTAATAGAGCAGTAGTGATATGTGGATACCTACGTGACATTATATAAGCATGGGAAGTAAAATGGGAATATATAAGACCTCTGTAAGATAATTAATGACCTATACGATCGAGACCAGAGCGGAAACAGGAGGAACAAGAAACTCATAGGAACTAACAAAATGAGAACGCTGAGATTCATTGCTGGTTACACTCTTATGGACCGAAAAACGAATGAGTTTATAAGATAACAATGCTGAATCCAGGATATTCTAAAACGGGTTGGCCAGAGTCCAGGGAGTCGAGATACCACATCAGTAGAATGTACGATGAGAGATCTCCAAAACCATGGTACGAGAGCTGGGCATCGGAGTCCTAGACTTAGTTATAAGGTTGAACATGAGTTAGTCCTGAATTAAGAGGAAGAAGAAGAAGATAATTTAATCAGCAAGAACATAAGTTCTAATTTACTTAAAACGTATCTTAATTTATGTTTTAACTATAACTTTTCTATGTATCTATCTGTCATGCCTTATTCAATCTAGACATATACTTCCCATTTCTCTTTCTTCTTTTGTAGCAGCAATTTTTCTAGCTTGATCGTCCATACGATCCTTCAATATAAGGGTTTATCTACTTATACGTACCTATATTTCTCACAATCTGTGAGACATATTTCCTTACAATTTACTATTTTTATTGGGAATAAGCCACAATTTTATTTTTAAATAAGTTTATTTTGAAGTTTTGATTTCCACTTGAAAATCCTTTTCAAAGTACAAAACATTAATACATTATATACATTTTGTTTTTGTTACTAAAAAAAAACCTTATAATAATTTAATCTTATCTGACTCATTCACATCGACAATTTAGATATATATTCTACATTTTAAAATAGATGACGTTAAAATGATATTGTCAATATTTTTGAGTTGCATTCCTGGGACGACTTTTGGATTCCTTGGACGATCTTAGCATGTAGGTATATCTAATGTCAAAATCCCTACTTGTAATTACATTTTATTCTGTAAAATGTGTTTGTTGTGGAATAAATAAATAAATAATTAACAAAATGGTTACGAAAACTATTAAGACGAATCAATCGAACACTAATTTAATAGATATTATAAAAACAAAGATAAACACTGATTGCAAAAATTCTTGGCAACACGAATAATTTTTCAATAATATGTGTGGATTTAAGAAATTGATTCCGGTAAAAGCTTTAATCGTAGGAAGTCACGTACCTCACGAAATTCAGAGAACGGCAAAGGCACAAACAGGGATATAACGGTAGAATTAATTTCTAAAAAAATAATTTAATTCTAAAAAAGAAATAATAAAAATAACCACGTCGCTGAAATTGTATAATTTCCCAATATTTTAGTTGGCAGTTTTAAAATCGATTCTTAACAATGAATCGCCCTCCTTATTTTCTTCTCAGAGTATAGCTTCTCTTACAGCACATAATTCAAACTTACATAGTTGAATTTTCCTTGGTAATTTGAAGTTTTGAGAACTTATTTGCGTCTCGCTGTTGTCTGTTAATTTAATATAGTAGTAGTACATATTATGAGTAAAAGACAGAATATATGACAATAAAAATCAGGTAAAATGCATTAATATTGATCTTTTGCTTTTTATTTTAACTCTAATGTATATAAAAAAACTATTCTATATTCTACATTACTTTTTAATTATTATGGTATACAGCCAACCCCTGGGATCTTTACCAATTCAAGGTAAATTAAATAATACTAAAGCAAATTCTGCTCTTAGTTTTAAAATTATTTAAAAGGAAATATTTATAAATTACATTTACACCCTATTTCCAACGAATAACTATTTTAATATCTTCCAAGATAATAAATATGTACATATATTTTTATTTCTTATGCATAAAGTGTTGACCGTATCATAGTTGGCACACAATACAATAGCCTTCTTAGTTCTTAGAATCAATACCAGTATTGTTCGCAATGGCTTTTGTAACCTTTAACCATATCATCATTTTTGTGCATTGTTCATTTTTATCATACTACCAGAGCGATTCGATAATTCCAAGAAGTTTGTCGTGATTAAATAGTGTCGTTTAAAAATGCTTAGGTCTCCGTTTTAAATTTTATTTAGATCTTAATTACTAATGGTTCAAATGTGTTTAATTATCATCGAATAATTGAAACTCTGGCAAACATACAAATATATTTTTAGAGGCTAATAAATTAGTTTTACAGCAGATACAATACTGTCTACAATAAATTCTAGAGCTCTTAAATGATGATTCTTGATAAGTTTTTTTTGTCAAACTTCTATTGGAAGTTTTAACTATTGCAAATTTCTTAACCCTCCGTTCATCGGGTGACCATTCTGAAACACTTTCGGTCGGGTGTGGTCTGTGAGTACCAAAATGAAATACCGCCTCCCGAGCAACAGTATACATTTTATTGCTAATTTCGCATCAACTTGTTTTACACAAATCATTTACTATATAATGTTTATTACAGAAACAATTTCAAAAAATTTTTAAGTTGTATTAGGTAAATTTTTTTAAATGTTTACAATTTCAACGCATATTTTTTCAAATTTGTGAACAGCGAGTAAATAATGAAAAAAAAAACAAAAAAAAAACATTTAAAACTTTAATTAGAAACAAAGTACTACAAAAACATATAACTACAGTGGTCAAACTTTGGTCGTCAAATTTTCTAAGCAATCTTTGCCAGCATGTCATTATGTGTTCCATACATAGCCAGGATTTGCACATTTTGCAAAAAAAGCGAGTTTTGCGTCTTTTGCAATATTAAGAATTTCCTCTCTTACCTGGCTGGGGCTCTGGCACAACGTCGACCTCAATGCCTGAGAGCCTCAAGGTCGAAGCACGCACAGCTTTTACTCTCCTGTACCAATTCCATACCTAGGTTTTTTTGGAATAATCTCCGCGTTTTGAAAAATTCTCCATCTGGATTGCTGCCTTTGTAAATTACCAATGCATTAATTGCTGCAGGATTAAGGAGATTATAAACTACTACAATTGGCCAAAGTTTCGTATTTCTGGAAACATTATATGATGTGATCATTCTGTCTACAACATCTACTCCACTCTTTGTGGAATTATAAACAGTAATTATTTCTGGTTTTTTTCTGATCACCAGTATCTTCATCAATTCGATCATCTCTGTGCACAGTGGTAACAGCAATCACATTTTTTCCTTTCTTCGGCAAGTGAAACAAGATTGCAAGAAAAATACAACTAAGAAGCAGTGCAAATATTGTTATACATTTGATCGGGTGGGGTCTGTCAGGCCAAACGGCCATGCAGCAGCTATTTAGAAATTTCAAAAACAGTTTTGTATAAAAAAAAACGAATGGTATTTAGTTTCTAGGAAGGTACTGAAAAGCTAGAAATTTAAAAAAATAAAACGAGAGAATTATCCAAAATTTTTATTTTGTCATAGACTCACAGACCACACCCGATGAACGGAGGGTTAACGAAGTAAGAAGCGTGAGGATGATATCTGACCAATACAAACTGCAAAAAAAAGGAAAAGCTCTTGGCACCGGTAAAGTGAGTTCCTAAATACTAAAGTTCTTGGGGGAGAAAATGTGTCTCAAGCCCCACGTGTCTCAAGCAAAAGGTTTATAACCAATGTGTTTTGCCTGTACAAACTTATGGAGCAGAGACTTTAACACTCACGCAAAAATCTGCGAATAAACTCAGAGTTACACAACGAGCCATGGAACGTGCAATGCTGAACATATTATGGAATGGAGGCCCAGAACCTATAAAAGAAGCCGAGGACGACCACCGACTAGATGAACCGATGATATAAAACGTATATCGGGAAACTGGCTACAAGCGGCCCAGTGTAGAGAACACTGGAAAGAACTGAGGGAGGCCTATGTCCAGCAGTGGACGCGATTGGCTGTTTGATGATCATTTTGTTTATAATAATATTCCGACTCAATAAATTGTCGTGTTCCGTAGGGACTGAAGGATCTGTTTGTTTATCAATTTTCTATTATAAAAACGCTTGCTCGCCGAACCAATGCAAAATATGTTTTATATTAGCATATTATTTAATTGTTTTAATTATAATTTAATTACATATAAATGGAAGGTGTTTTTTAATTGTTAGTCTGAATCACCGAGATATTTTATAAAAAACAAAAGAAAAAAGTGAAGTGGTACTTGTGTGTCCTTATGCGCTATAATTTTCTTCTCTTTTGTTTTAGTGCAATAAAATTTCATTAACTTTGATTATTAACGGTTTATAGCGTGCTGGAAATGTATACACAATCGAAAATAAAATAGGAAGTACAGTTTGCATTGTTTTAGTTTAATGTTGTCTGCCGTGGTACGTTATTTTTAATTAGTTTAAACGTTTATGTATTCCGACTAATTTCAGATAACGATATTTTCAAACACAACTATTAAAACTAAAATTAAATGATTATTATTTGTAATATACCGCCCAAACAAATTAAAAAACATAGTTCGATAATTTTTCGAGTCGGATAATTACAGAAATTTGAGAAGATTCTCAGAAATATGAGAAAATTCTTTGCACAATAATATTAAAATTAAAGGGAACAATTTTATTAACAATTCAACTCGAAATTGAATTACCTAGGACCAGTATTTTTATTTCTAAATAGATGACACAATGCTGCAATTAAAAAAAGTTGATCAATTACTGAG